GTGGATTCACACTAACTCTCAGTTATCTGAGCCTGGTATGGCCTGGGCCCATAACCAGTGTTGAGGTAATTCCCCGTGAGGAGAATGAGCACATACAGGGAGACGTATTTGAGAGTAGTGTTTGAATAATACACACACAGCACACAGATACACTGTCCAGTAAATGTAGGTTTTTACTTTCAGAAACTTTTAAGCTAAGTTCAAACAAGCAGTGATGAGCAGCGGTGACCGAACCGGTTCTCTCTGCCGCTCTGCTGTTGGGCCCACCTGGGCTCCCACACTCACCTTTATCCTCTGAATTTGAAGCACAGCTGCTTTGCATGGCATAGAAGAGTGCTGCATGGCAGCTGCTGAAGTGACTGGGATCATGCAGGCTTGCAGGAAGTAAGTTAGAACACCTCTGCGCCTGCTCAAATGCTTCAGTGCCTGCACAAAGTACACATTTGGTATGCGCAGATGCAAAGTGTGTGCACATGCACAAAGCGTGCCCTCCAAGCCATGCCCACCGAACCGGTGGTAAAACTATTTGAATCCCACCACTGTGACAGACTCAGTAATTTCTCTGTAGAACTGTATCAGCAGCTTCTTGGGCAGTTTGAGCTTTCTGAGTTGGTGCAGAAAGAACATTCTTTGTTGTGCTTTTTTGATGACGTTTTTTATGTTAGGTGTCCATTTTAGGTCTTGTGATATGAGAGAACCTAGAAATATAGCCATAAAAGGTATTGAAAATCTTCCATGTGAGACAGAATTGGGTCAAAAGGTAACCATACCAGTCTTCCCTTAAAGTTCTTGAAAGTTGGGTTAAAATGATGTATGATATGATTTCAGTCATCAATACATTTTAAAAAAATGTTATTCTACACATTTCTGACTATTTGTATTAAGCTACTGCTAAGTGTTCAAAAATTATCACACATTCCTTTTTAAACAGAAAATTTAATTTAGTTCCTGTAAACATTTACACATAGGTTGCAGAAAGTCACTGTTGTTATTCTGAGTTGCTTAAGAATGTTTAGATTTTGTGAGGCAGAACAAACTGGTTTTTCTTATTTTTGCTTTATTTATGCTGTTGTCACCCACCACCCAGTTTTCTAGATTGCTGTTAAACAAGGAAGGATTTTTTTAAAGAATAGATTTTTATTATATTTTCCACCAATACAAATCACATTCATATCTGTGACAGTGTTTTGTCATCGACACATATAGTCAACTTATAAATATTTTATACTTTATATATATCAACCAATAACTATTATCTCTACTATAATTATCTCTATCTTATATATCATTCTATTGTATCATTCTCGTAAGGTCTCTTAACTACACTAATCCATTCTTCTTATTTCTTTTATCTATTTTCTAACCATTCGTACCATTTATGCCAGACTGAGTAATATTTGGAGTTTTCCTTGTCTTTCATTTCTAGTGTAAGCATATTCATTTCCACACATTCTAGTATTTTATGTAGAACTAAGTCTTCTGGAGGGGTGTTAGGTCATTTCCACATTTGTGCAAAAGCTATCCTGGCTGCTGTTAGAATGTATAAAATAATATATTTTATCCCTTTTGGGTATTGATCCTTAATTATTCCTAATAGGAAGAGTTCCTGTTTAGGTTCTATTTGATATCCTGTAATTTCCTGCATCCAATTTTTAATTTTAATCGATAGTTCCTGGTCTCAGGACATAGCCACCACATATGAGGTACCGTCTGTTAGATGACATTTCCAACACTTTGGGCTTATGTTGGGAGATATCTTAGCCAATCTCGATGGTGCCAAATACCACCAGTAAAACATTTTATATTTATATAAATATAATTTTCCCCCTTCCTCCATCTGGTGACATAAATTCCCTTCACACAAGGAAGGAATTTTTACAGAACCAAATCCAGTCATACTTTCCTAATGAAGAGTTTATTGTGTCTTACAATGCTATGGTTTGAATTTTTGCTAGCAAGATCTTCCTTACCTCTTTGGTCAGTGATGTTAGTCTGGAACTTCACTTAGGACAAGGACTATGGGATATACCCTTTGATGCTTCTACATTGAAAGACTGGGATAGGGATAGATTGTCATGGTGAATGTAATTGCTAAGAATTATCACAATCTGTTGGCATATAATTGATCAATCAATTGTTTGTTTAAAAAGTATTCCACATCTTTTTTTATACTAATAATAGATGAAACTCTGGTACTTAATTTTGTAATCATCACTTTTAGAATCCTTCATATAAATTTAAGTTGCAAAAAAGTATTGTATAGATTAAGCAGAATCTGGAGCATGGTAGATAAATAAAAGTTGGACCAACAGACTTGTGATTCATAGAGATTCTGAAGTTTTAGGGTCCATATTTTTGGTGTAAGGCAGTAAGATACATAAGCATGATGCTACAGATATCCAGACTTTTTACAGCACCCAGCTCATTTTGTAATTTGACTCACCAGATATAGAGTGGCCTAAGGAAGGAAATTGCATTTGTGGTCACAATGCTGGTAGTGCCTAAAATAGCTCTGAGCATGCAGCACATTAGTTTTGTTCTTAATAAACCAAGACACTGTTAGTTGTAAATTTAGTTATATGCTCTGCCTACAGTCTTTACTGAGAGGAACAAGTGACATTCATGTGTGGGTGACCACCAGAAAGTTGACAATTCCTAGCATACTAGAAATTGGAGATGGTGAGCTGTGGCTTCTCCATTTCATTATCTTGGGGCTAATTGTTATACAGATGGTAAAGAAAGGGAAGGGGAAGAACAGGATGTTCTTAGCTATTTTCCCCTTCCTTCTACAAGGCCATAGTGTGTTTTGTAAGAGTTTCAGTTTCAGGTGTGTAATGAGAGCAGTTGCAGGGATTGAGATGGACACTTCCCCCCTTTATTTTAGCCTAACTTCAAATGGAAAAAAAAAACCCACATCAATTTTCTGACCTCATCCATCCCTGGAAATTCTGTGATCCAGTGGATTGCAACCCCCAACCTACCCATTATGCAATATATATATTTAGTTTTTGTATCTGGTAACTTTCAATTATTGACTTAATGTTGCAGGTAAGACTAATTGAAGATGCACATTTCATAATTCTATAATATGTGATGAACACTAGAATGAATACATACGTACATACATATACATATATATCTCGTAGTATTCATCACATATTATAGAATGATGGAAATTGATAATTATACATGGACACACACGCACACACATGTATGTTTATGTATATATGTATAGTTTTGTTATATGTATGTGTATGTACATATATAAAATGTACAGTGCACTGAGAAGCACAGAGCCGAAGACACAAGCCTGAAGATGATGAATGAGACTTCATTGAAACATTGCCTAGATACTTCCAATCTTACGCAGGAGAAAACCCGAATAACCAAAGATCCACAAACAAATACCCGCGAGAACCTCAGAAAACATATACATTATTATATATATATATACATATAAACACACACACACACACACATATAAATGTGTGTGTGTGTGTTTACATGTGTATATTCTTTACATACACACACACACACACACATACACACACACACACACACTCCTGCTGTATTATTCCATTCAATTGTTTCTGATTTCAGACATTGCCTGGGCTAGATTTTTCAGAATAAGTTTGCCATTACTTCCTTCCTAAGGCTGAGAGAAGGTAACCGGCCCAAGGTTATCCAGCTGGTTTTGTGTCTAAAGCCGCACTATAATTCATAGTGTCTCGGTCACTTGTTTCCAGTTGGTTTCCAGTCTGATGCCTTAATCACTACACCAAACTGGCTCTTATGTTCTGCTATTTATTTTTAGTCAAATGTGAATGCTGTTTTGCAATTTTTGTGGATTGTGTGCAAAATCTATTTGGTAACAGTTTCGTGATTTTTATGAATTAAAACCACCAATACAATGTTCAGTAAAAGATAAAATATACAAAACTTGAAAACAAAAATGTGGAAACAGTGGAATACAATTGAAGAATATATTTAGAAACTTTGAAAGCCAGGAATAAATTAAAATATTATTAATTAGAAATAGTTGAAGGCTTTTAAAAGTAAAAAAAAAGTAGTTTTCTTTAAAACGCTATCAAAACTAAGTTCTTAAAACATTTCCTTGCTGTTGTTACATCCTTTGTTTTTTTTTAAAAAAAAATCATTCACAATTCTATTCTATCTTGGATCAAAAGTAGTACTCTTGTGTTTTCATATTCTTTCTTTTTATTTTTTTCAATCTAATGGACTACTGAAAAGAAACTATGTAAAAGTTTTTCTGCTCAATCTTGCCAGGGTTCAGCTGAAGGCTGTTACAGCTCCAGTTCCACAAAGTCTCCAGGCACTGAAAAAGGAGGACATCATTAGGGGTAGAGATGTAAAGCTGAATATCACCAGCACACTGATGGTTTCTCACCCCACAGTGACAGATTATCTTATCCAGAAGCTTCAGATAGATCTTAAACAGGAGTGGAAAGAATCCTGAATCCTGTAGAACTCCACATAGTAGGGACTGAGAGTGGGACCTCTCGTTTCCGATCAAGACTCCTTTACAGGACCAACCCTGCTTACCCGGTCACCTAATCCCGTCCTCACACTATTCCATATAAGAAATTTCCTTCCTTCCTTCCTTCCTTCCTTCCTTCCTTCCTTCCTTCCTTCCTTCCTTCCTTCCTTCCTTCCTTCCTTCCTTCCTCCCTTCCTCCCTTCCTCCCTCCCTCCCTCCCTTCCTTCCTTCCTTCCCAGGGCATCTTAAGTTTTCTGAGAATGTGTTTAATTAAGAAGTTGTTCTTGAAACATACATTTTAACTCACTTCTCTGGGAAAGCTATCTTCAAGGCCTGTGAACAGTGAAGAATAAAAAGGTCAACAAATCTCAAAGAAACCAACATAAAACATGATTTAGGAGTTAATAAAAGTGTAAAACTCTAATAAAATATTCTAATATTATATTCTTTAAAATGTTCTAACACTAAAATGAATAACACATTTGTGTTTGTGATTTAATAGGTTGCGCCTAATGATGAAGCTGTGGTAACATTGCTTTGTGAATGGGCTGTGAGTAATAAAAGATCTGGTAAGCACCGGGCAATGGCTGTAGCTAAACTATTGGAGAAGAGGCAAACTGAAATTGAGGCAGAAGTAAGTTATCTGCTAGTCTTCATTTCTAAAGGAAATTTTAGTCCACCATTTAGAAATCAAGCATGATATTCCTGATCTCCAATGCAAATCTATCTATAGAGAAACTTTAGGATAATTCTAAAGGAGCATTAGCATGCTTCTCACATTTTTGGGACAAAACAATGAAAAAACATTTACACATGGACTTTCTATAGTCCACTATGAACTATACAGGGTACATAATCAAAATTGTACAACTTAAAGAAAATATTAAACTGCAATTTTAAAGCTGCTGAAATGATTTTTCAGGCTATGGTTAAATATTCTCTTTTACTACATCATGTAAAAGAAGATTTTTAAATATAGTAGATAGATGCAATAGTTCCTTTTTATTCGTGTAACTCAGGAACCACCATAGTAATATTTTTAATTCATGGAAGCTTGCATTAATTGTTTTGTTCTCTGTAGATAGTATTTGTATAGAACCTAGAATCTCATTAATCTCATCAGTGCCTATTTACAAAAAGATTATAGAAGATGTTCCAGTGTTGAAGAGTATATATATTTATTTATTTGTTGAATGTATACCTACTGCAATGAACTGATTCATGGTGGTTTACAGCAAATGAAAGAATAAGCAGCAATAGTTATCATATTTTAAAATGTCCACAATAGAAAATAAAATGAACAAATTTATAAGATTTATAAAATTATAATTGAAGTTGAGTGACTATGGAGGAAGAAATCAATGGTTGTACCTTTGGAGCAATACCAAAAAGCTGCCTAGATACATGAAAATTTTGAATTTATTAGACCTCAATATTCTGACTTTGCAAAAAAAAAACCCACTCTACTTGGAACTGCCTACATGCTTTTAGGTCTTAGATGCTTTTAGGTCTTAATAGGTTATAGATCTTTGGTTAGGACTTGAGCTATTAAGTTTTTACCAGTGCCAGACTGTGAATGAAGATTAAATTGTCATCATCATCATCTTCATCATCATCATCAATAATAATAACAATAATATACACCGAAATCAAGAAAAAGGCTAAAAATGAATATATCCTAAGTTTGAAGAAGATCTAAAAGTCCAAACTCAGTGGAATAAATATGCAAATATGCAAGATAATGCAATTATAAACTGGGCAATTCCAATCATCAGTTGGGATAGTGAACTGGGCTCAAGTAGAAATAAAATGCCTGAATAGGAAGACCAGAAAAATGATGTCAATGAATCATGCTTTTTCACGTAATAGTGACAGACAGGAAAATAGGTGGGCATGGAATGGTGCAAGTACACCATACAGCTGAAAAAGAAAAAGGGGCATGGAAGAATATTTGGGGAACATTGTAGAAGATGCAGTGAAGCTAGTATACCATGAAGGATTACTGAAGTACCGGAGAAACCAGATTGACCTACAGGAAAGACCAAGTGAAGAATAGAAAAGAGATTTATATATATAACAGCAGAAAGTGGAGTACATTGGAAAATCTGCTAGAAATACCATTGGCCTACAATAATTGTTGGGACCACAAAATAAACAAAGCAACAGAAAGTGAAGAAGCTAAAGTGCTGTGTAATTTTAGAATTTAAACAGACAAGCACCTGCCACATGACATTTCAGGCTTAACAATTGTTGATACAAATGTCAAAAAAATCTGGATAATGAACATGACAGTATTTGGACATAGCAGAATAGGAGAGAAATAACTGGGGATAAAAAATCACACAAAGACATACAAATAGAAATACTTTTATTTGTAATAGCTTACATCTTGTGATGATACCTTTAACACCATCAAACAAATTCTGTGTACCCTAGGTCCTAGGGAAAGACTCAGTCAGTGGATAAAAATGCCAAATCCAATTTAAGCATCTGACTGACTGTGCAACAAACCATAATAGTACCATCAATGCTATAAATGGCTGGGCAATACCTGTGACATGATACATTGCTGGAATTATTAACTGGATACTATATATTACATCTCTGTAGTGATATTAATAGATTATACCTGCCCTCTGGAGATGGAGGCAGAGGTTTACTTCTGGTGAAACAAACTGTCAAAAAGAAAAGCATGCAGTGGCTATCCAAAAGTGCTTTTCCAAAAGAAACTAGGCTTTGTTTTTCCTAGAAGACATTTCGCTTCTCATTCAAGATGTTTCTTCAGTTCTGCTTGAATGGTGGAGGGTGGAAGGATTTATATTCTTCGCAGTCATCTGGTCATTAGCACTAATTCTGAGAGTCCCGGAGGCTACTTGGCCCTCAAGGTCACCTAAGTAGTGCAAATGAGTGTGGCACCTTCTTGGAACTTCTGAAATAACTGTTGTAAAGAGGAAATAGGTGGTTTTGTACCCCCCCCTCCCGTTGAGAGAGAGCTGTTCAGTCTTAATGTAGATAGCCTCTCTGACCTCTTTTTCAAACCTCTTTTGGTTCAAACCTTTTTTGGTTTGAAAGAGGGGTCAAAGAGTCCATCTATATTAAGATTGAATATCCCTCTCTCAACAGAGGGTGGGGGATATGACACCACATACCTCCTGCTTAGAGAAAATGAAACATTTTCAAGGAAAAACAAAGTCTAGTTGCATTTGAAAAAGCATCTTTGGGACAACCATGACCTGGATGACTGAGAAATTCCATAGGATTGGCTAATTATGTAAAAGACAGCCCAAACCAACAATTAATGCAAGTTAAAATGGGAACTTAACTAAATTTACGGGAAACAAGAAGGTGAATTTCAAAATATTGTAATAAAAAGAAGTACAGAATGCTGTCGATGAAAAACATTACATGGTTTAATTTATGCCAAAGATCAAGAGGAAAGTGATTTCAGATGAACCTCGAACATTAAAAAAAAAAGAAACTGAAGGCTTAATTTTGACTGTGCAAAACCAAGCTATTTGAAGTAATGTGAAGGGCAGAAATGAAAATCATCAAGTGATTCAAAGTGCAGATTGTGCACAGAAACAGAAAACAGTAGATTCATCTCATGGAAAAAGATCACACAAACTGATTGTAAACAACAATATAACATAGTCACCCAAATGATTCATTGGACTATCTGCAAAACCTATCACGTACCACTAATAAAAATGAGTGGAAACAGAACTGAAAAAAATAGCTGAAAATAAACATTAAAATATTGTGGGATTGCTAAATACAAAGTATAAAGTTTTGGCTCATACCACATCAGATACAGAAAATCTGCACATTGTCAAAATTTGTTTATGTGGATTGGAAAAGGCCACACTGCTTGGATCCATACATATGATACACTGATAAATAATAATATTCTAGTTTCTTAGGAAGAACTTGATGTATGAAGACCAACCCCAGCTAAGGAACTGGTAGCTATTACTTCATATTGTTAACAGATAATAATAATCAATAAAAGGTATCTTATAGTTTTAGTGCGTGAGAACAATGTAGGAATATCCTTTCATTTCTTTAGCAAAACAAAAACAAAAACCCACAGTGACATTTGAATGCAGTTTCTTAATCTGTATTTGTGTTTTACTAAACCAAGATTCAAGTAACTCTTAAATTAGATTTCATCATAGATTATCACATTGTCCAAATGAATTGACAAGTCATTTCTCCTTAATTTAGCTATTCTTTGTAATTTCTGGGAAAAGAGGGGGATGAAAGTAATTTTAATAGTTATGATACCACAAGTTTATTCTTTTATTTTACATACTTTTATAGAGATGTGGTGAAGTTGAAATCATGGATGAAAAGGAATCCATTTCTTCAGCATCATTTGCTGGTTCTAGCCTTCCTGTTTTCCAGAATGTTCTCCTTAGATTTTTAGATACTCAAGCCCCCTCATTACGTAAGTATTAAATTATATCTGTTCCAAATTAGGATTAAGTACATTAATTTTTTCCAGCAACTGTATTACTTTTTGTACCTGCTTGGATTATTGTGAATTTAACAACATTCAATTCTGTATTTATTGTCAGCTGATCCAAATGGTGAATATGAAAAAATTGAATTTGTGAACCTAGTGCTGCTTTTTGGTGAATTTATACGGCATGATGTTTTTTCACATGATGCTTACATGTGCACTTTAATATCACGTGGAGACTTATCTGTCACTGCAGCTTCTAGAACACGTTCACCAACTGGGGAAAACATGGATGAGCACTATTCTAAGGAACACGATGTGAAACTTGAGGTAAGGAGTCCATTGTCGCCTTATCAAGGAGATGAGTGGCAGATAAATTTAATAAATAGTGTATGTATGTAAGATTGGATTATTTAACTTCTTAATTGATATAACATTAGAAGAAATCTGAAAAAACAAGTTTAAAAGATAATTTGTGATTTGCTACAATCTTTGGGATGAAATGATAAAATGCTACTTGACTGTGACACCTATCATGTTGTAATTGTCTGGCTCCCTTAGATCAAATTGTATTTATAAAAAACAATAATAGAAATAGTAACTTTTGAAAAAAATATAAATAAATTTCTTTCATTCAAATACTTCCCAAAATATACTCCTGGTGATTTACACTAATAAAAATGAACACAACAAAGTTTAAAAGCCACAATACAAATGCAATATTAAAAAAATTAAAGAAGCACTAATAAATGCTATGGAATCATTATGCCAATACATGCTACGCAACAGCAACTTGAGATGTCCTGAAAAAGACATCTTTGAAAGATCACATTGGTTAGTGCAAGTCTATTATTCCAACACAGGAAAGAAGATATAGTTAGAATTTGTAAGCAAAATCTTGGGAACTTTTTTTTTTAACTATAGAGGATCTTGTTTCCCTTTTTGAAGTGTTTGGTAAAATCCAATAATGTCTGTGGGGCCCTTGGTGTTTTCTGAACTTGGTTTTCTTGCAAATGTTTCACTATCCAACATCATCAGTATTGGGGAAATGAGGAACCCTCAGAAACAGCTTTGACAAAAGTCTTAGAGTTGGGATATGATTGGAAGAAGGATGGAGGCCCAGTTGTGTGAGAGAAAATTTACAAACATATATTTAAAACCGCTTATTATTTGGAACTACAAGAATATTTCTTTACCACTTTTAAATACATTGTAATTTACGATGCCTTAGAGAAATTTTAATTCTCTAGAGCAGCCAAAACTGATTTGCTACACTTTTTCTTCCTCCTTGTTGAAACACCTGATCCCACAGCAGAAATACACATTTCCTGGGAGATCATTCATTTCATTGTAAACAATCTTACAGACCGACCTCCTGAGTACAGTCTACTCAAGCTTGTTAACTTTATTATTTTCAGCACAATACCAAAGATAACCTATCTTGATTGTAATGTCCATTGACTATATTCACTCTTACTGCATATAATAAGTAATTTATATTATGCTTGAATTCATATAATTTGTGATCAGTTCAATGGGTTTTCATTACACTCTGACTCACATTTTTGTTTTTTGTCTCTTTGGTGAAAATTAGGAACATAGCCTTATGGAACACATGTATATTGACTCAGGAACCACTAATATTTTTGATGATGTAGACAAGAATGACTTAAAGACAGACTTTGGTTCGGAATTTCCAGTAGGTTTAACTTCTTATTTTAAAACCACAAACAATGTATTTATTCATTCTTCCCTTTGCTACATGACATCATGGAATATGCACTGCTTATCTGCTATACATTTCTTTTCACATTTTCACATAGCTTAACTTGTCTGCAGAAATCTATTTTTATTCTGCAAAACAGTATCATGTTAGGTTTTCAAACTTTTTCATCCAGTTTCACTAATGTTCAAAATGCCATTGTGGTGAATGCATCATGCACAACTTCAGGCATAACTTCATATATATATTTTTTTGAAAATCCTGAAATACAAACTCTTTCATAGACCTTTTAAGCTATGTTGGCCCTTATTTGTTACTGTAAAATGGATAGCTACATCATCTGAAAGAAATTTCAACATGTAGAGTCCCAAGATTCCAAAGAAGATGTTGAACATGGTGTGATGTGTAGAAATAAGCACTTCTGAATAATTAGTCATCAGTGGCGGACAACAAAGACGAATGTTTCCCATATTATAAAATAAGAAAAATATGTTTTACATTTCCTTGATATACAGTATTGTACAAAAGCATGCTTTAATTGTTTTCTTGCTAAAATATGAACTATTAGTTTTAGATGTTTCTAAAAAGGTTTAATCCTCCCCCACAATTTATATAAAATTAACTGTGAGCATTTAATTCAATATTAGCATGAATTTATAGGCTTTTCACCTTATTTCATGATAGGCTATTTCCAATCTTTATATCAGTAGTGTAGGGAAGAATTGAAAAAGCAGTTTTAAAGAAACTCTCTCTCTTGGGCATGCTAACTGAGGCTGCTGCTTATATGAAGTAAAAAAAAACCACACCAAAATGTTGGATTGTCCACTTGCTAAAATCCTGGACAGCTACTACTAACTGATAGTACTAAGTTAATTAGATTGGTGTGATTCAGTAGAAATCCTGCAATAAAATGATTGCAAATGTGATTGTTTCACTTTCAAATTGCAGTGAATGGATGTTTAAATATAACAAAATTCATACTAACTGAAAACTTGCAAATATCTGCATGCACATTGAACCAAACATCAGGTAGTCCTCAATTTAAACCGGTCCTTTAATGAGCCATTCCAAGTTATGGTGGCCTTGGGAAGTGTCCCAGGTGCAATGGCAGAACAACAACCTGCTGCCCAGAACAAATGGATGGAGCCCACAGCATATCTTCTACACTGGCATGGGTGGGATGGTCCAATCTCACTGGAATGAGAGAGTCCTTCAAGTAGCCTGGACTCAGTCCATGAAGGGCTTTACAGGTGATTATCAACAGCTTGAATTGTACCTGGAAGCAGACTGGCAACCAGTGTAGCTCATGGACAGTGGAGCTCATGGGCCATTCTTCAAGAACTGCCAAGAATATAATGTTTCCCCATGATCACATGACAATTGTTCAGTTGCATGGCAATGGATATTCACTTAACAACTATTGCCAATTACCCCTCCCCCCCAGTCATGTGATGGTCATTTGCAATCTTCTCCATTGGCTTCCTTAGAAAGACAGTGGGAAAGCAGGCAGGGAAGGTTTCAGGCTGCTGCCCACCTGCTGGGAAGACTTCCCTCATTTCAGGGCTGGCTGAAAGTACTGCCTACTGCCTGGAACTCAACCATTGGGTTGCAGAAACTGGGCTTGCACCCCATGATTCAAGCCTTGTTTCTGCAGTCTGGAGAAGGTATTTTCTTCTGTGCATGGAGAAGAGCTCAGCCCCTGACCACTATTTATGTAGCCTGGTGGCGTTCTCATCTGCTGAAAAACTGCTGTAACTTTGAACAGTCACTTAACGAACAGTTGTAAGTTGAGAACTACCTGTACATAGACAGGTTTCTTTGGCATTAGAAACAGTTACCCTATCTTTTTACTCAAAAGCTTTGCATTTGGTCCATTTTCTTATTACTGCAACATAAAAACTAGGAGCTGGAATAGGAAGTTGTTCATTAAATTGTCTGTTGCTACTTTCATGGAATGTAGAAGGTTTGCTAGTATAGCAACTTTTATATTGTTAGTACTGAATGCTATTCCAACCTCCTCAACAACATTAGTATTCACTATTGCCTATTTCAAGATAATTCCATTGTATTCAAACTAAATCACAGATACCTTTGATTTATTTCTTGTTTCTTGTTTATTTTTTTAAAAATAACATACTATAAATCTGGAGGACATTTATGTTTATAATATTAAATATTTTAAATGGCCTAGATCTTTTCTCCAATGCCTGGGGAGTCTTGTGAAAATCTGAATTCAATACCAGTACAAAACAGAAGAGCTTCAGTAAGTAATGAAAAGTCTACAAAGAAAGAAAAAGGAAGGGAGCTGATTTTCCCATCAAATTACCATCTCCTTCGACATTTGCAGTATGCTACACATTTTCCTATACCTTTGGTAAGTAACCCTTCCCATCTTTAAGGAGTTGATGCAAAATTTTGAACAATGAGATCCACTTCATATATATTAATTAGGAAATGTGTCTGTGTAAGTTTATTCTGTTCCCAACTTATTGTTTTCTGTAGTCTACATCTCAATTTAGCTGGATGTAGACTCGCTCTTCAACTAGCTTCTGCATTATTTAAACTTCACTGAAAAGAATAACAATTTAATCATAACTAAACTTAATCTATTATATGTAACGGGACCTAATCAATTAGAAATATAACTTGGGATGGACAGAATCAACATTATGATATAATATAAAAGATTCAATTCTTACGAATGAATTTTTTTTGTTATTTCGACATTACCTTCAGAGAGTCAGTTTGGTATAATAGTTAAAAGGCATTAAGTCACAAATTGAGAGACTGAGTTCTAATCCCATCTCATGCATAAAGGCAGGTGAGTGACTTTGGGCCAGGCAGTCTCTTTCAGCTGTAGAAAGAAAGCAGTGGCAAACCACTTCTGAATATCTTGCCAAGAAAACTTCAATAACTTGGCCAGACTGTAAAAGCATTTTGTTTAGGGAAAGCACCATGGATTTTATAAATAATTTAAAATGCTGGCCTTTCGGCACTATTTAACAGGTGTGAAACATTAGGATTAGAGCCAGAGTTGGCAATCTGTGCCCCCTCAATTTCTGAAAATTGAACATCCTCCCGATTGTGCGTTTGAAAATTGTCATCAATTTAATTGTATCCAGTTACTGCCGTGCTTAGAGTACCTGTTATATATATTTGGAATGCTCCTTATTGCAAATAGGATGAAGTAATGTTTAAAGCCTACCAAAGCATTTCTTCAGATCAACCGATACCTTGTGTAATTAAGGCAGAATTAGTTTAAGTCTCTTTCACATGCTTGCCCTCTTTCTTGGACCAATGTTCTACCTCCATGTTCCTGGAGTCTGCTAGACATTATTTTGTATAGGATTAACATTTTCAGCTTTTTTAGAAGGTGTTTTCTTTAGAGAATAATAATAATGTAATAGAAAATAGTAGAGTTCCTCCTCATGAAGGAAAAGTTTGCATGAAGTTATCCAAAAGGGAAAAAGTTTCTTCTAATGAAATCCTTTGAAAACCGTCTTTTCCCCTTAGATCTATTCAAAGGTATTTAAGATTTCATAGCTTTGAAGGTCATCAATTTGGAAATAATGACCCAACACATATCTATTGTCAGTAACAAGTGAGAGCTAAATCTTATCCAGGCCTATTAAATGAGCTTTTTAGCCAGTTTTCATGTTTCCTGACTTTCATCTATTTTCTAGTTATCTTAATTATAGCTTTGTATGATGATGCTGATCCTATATTTTTACTATTTAACTTTTACTATTTAATTATTTAATCATGATTTGTTCCGGGAGGTTCATTGCAATCAAGAGCAGAGATCCCCAACCCCTGGTCTGCGGCCTGTTGCTGGACTGTAGCCTGTTGGGAACCTGGCCGTGGAAGTGGTGGAGGAGTGCGTGTGCATGAACTTGTATTTGTGAAAGTGCCCCTTGTGCACGCAAAACTGTTCCCGCTGCCCTCCAATCACCTCTGCCTCCACTGGTCCACCGAGCCGGAAAGGTTGGAGACCACTGATCTAGAGGATGAAGTATAAACTACTGTTTGGCATATCACAAAAAAGGCCCATGTTCTCCTTCTGTTCAGTCTTACTACCGCTCGCCCCCAACAGTCCCCAACCTTATTCAAACCATAGAAGTCCAAAGTATGCCAATGAAGTGGGAAGTCAAATGCATTTTTAATGTCCTGTTCATGTGGAAAGGATTGCAGTTTCATCTGAAACCTGAAACTCTGGCATTTTCTCTTCGTGCATTTCTTGATCATCTAGAGAAACATGTCTACGTTTAAAGGATACAAAATGTTTAGTCATTGTTAGTCTAAAGGTTTTTGACAGATAAAAATACAAAATGGGATCGAAGCACAGATTTGATACACCAAAGAGCAAAGTGGATTCTTTTGCTTTGTAGAGAGATTCTCTAAGGAAACAGTCTGTGATTATAATTTTGCTTTGGCTCAGCGTATATGGGATTCGAACAATATGGTAAGGAAGAAAACATATGATGTAGCTTGCGGTAACTAAAAGGATGTTTACCAGAGCTTTTTTTACACTGGGATAGTCTTCTGTACCTTTGTTTTGAAAAAGTAGTCTGATCACAAGAAAATTAGAGATAAGCACCATAGCTGAAAAATACAGAAATATTGCAGTACATATGAAATTGGTGAACACGTGCCAGTCTCTTCCCACTTTTGTTTTGAAATCAATGCATCCTACATTTGGTGATTCTTTGACCTCTGTGATTGGAATAATCATATTTGGTACCATGATGAAGAGAACCATTAACCATACCACTGCTGAAATCATCTTGGCAAAAGTAGGTTCCTGAATCCTATAGATCTTGTATCCCTTTGTTAATTGGAGGCACCGGTCCATGCTTAAAAATCCCAAGAATATGATTGATAAGTACATATTAATGTAGATCAGGCATGCTGTGACTTGACAGTGGAATATTTTCAGTTTCCATGGGGCAACTCCTAAATCTACAATTATTTTCACTGGCAGGGCAAGGGTCAGCAAAAAATCTGCTGTCAATAGGTTAATTAAGTAAACATTCATACATTTGCTATGTTTCTTGGTCTTCAGAAAGGCCCAGAGAGCAAAACAGCTGCCAATGAATCCAATAAGGAAAATCAAATAATAAAAATAAGTGAATGGCTGCATCTGAGAATAAATATTGCATTCTGAAGAATTGATTGAAGCCATCTGAAATATTTCAAAGTAGAGGCAAATTGTAGGAATCACCTTGAATCTGTGAATGAGAAAGAGAGAGAATGAGAATGAGAGGGAGAGGGAGAGGGAAAGAGGGAGGGATGGAGGGGAAGAAAGAGAAAGAGAGAGAGGGAGGGAGGGAGGGAGAGAATATTAAAAAGCTTTTAATGTCAGGATAGGAAAAGGGCAGGCATTGTGACAGGAAAAGCTCTCTTGCTTACCTATAATCTTAAAAGTAGCTTAATGTAACTAACAGTGTCTTATAGAATGTTGGCATCATGTTCAAGGTGTTAGTCTGAAACAAAAGTAGTAATTTTGTACCAGTATAAGTAGTAACAATTGTAGTAAATTGTTAAAGCATATATGCTGAATAGGAAATTGTAAAATCAATCATTTTCTCATGTACTAGCAGTTGCTACTTCTAGGAAACAGAAGCAAAGTAACTTCACCCAAATGAAAAACAATGAATTCTAAGTTTTCAATAAATATATAAAATATTACTATGAGCCTTCTCATTCTTAAAAAAGATGTAGTGTCAATAATAGATAAAGAGAAATCAGAAAAAATTATTACTTAGTTTGGGTAATAAAACATCTGCAAAAATACACCCAAGGTCAGAGAACACCAAGGACCCCTCATTTCAACCCTATAAATATAAATATCCTTCTTTATTAGTACCACATTATGATTGTCCACTACCTTCACAATCACAATCATGGGACCTTCTTTTTTGCATTTCTTCAACTATCTGGCTGTTTGTTTGTACATTCTTTTATTTCTTTGCTAATTGTTTAACCAGAAATGTGACCAGAAAAGAGAAAAAAAAAATTAAAAAGGCAACCAAAGCAAAGCAAAGAAAAAAGTAAAAAAAAAAACCCACAACCCCACGGGCTCTCCTGATCAACCTATATTTCACCAAGGGTGGGGGGGGGAGGGGGAGAGAGAGAGAGAGAGAGAGAGAGAGAATGAGAGAGAAAAGCTCGGTATGCTGTTTTGTTTCAAAAGTGGTTTTGCATCCTGTTCTGTGCCTGTTATTTTACTGTTAACTGTAGAATAAACTTGTAATAATACATGATACCCAATCTAAGTAGGCATTTCAATGGTTTGAAGAGGTTTTATTAGTATAAACCTTGCCATGAACCTTTTACATTCCTTTTGTAGTTAGTAATTTTACGATCAGGGAGAGTCACATTTTAGTCTGGCTTTTTTCTCCCACTGCTGTAAACACAACTCTTTTGGTGACTTAATTTGTTTTAACTGGTGAATAATTATAAATGTATTACAGTTAATAATTCCAAATTACTGGAATGGAACATATGTTTTCATTCTTACTGAATGGGAATCCCAGAATTCCTAAGCCATAGAAGGCATGAGAAATTTCTGGCTGTTTAAATGTTTTTTTTGAAAAACATCAGATGTGGAAGCTTCCAAATTTGATCTATGATGATTCCCTTATCCTAAAATTTTATTGACTTTGAAGAAGAGAATTTAACCTAGATGATATCCCATTATCTTTCTCTTGTCCAGAATTAAGAGCAAGCTCCCTGTTGTGGGGTGTGATCTAAGTTGCCATCATAGTACAACAGATATTGTAATTAAATTTAATCACCTACTGGTGATATTATGTACATTTTTCTCTCTGTTTGTAAAGTGACATCAGTGAAATTTTGTGAAAAAAAAAGAAATTTAAGCAATAATATCATGTATTATTTGAATGAGGTTTTCACAGCAAGGATCATTTGACTTTCTGACTTTGGATGCCTTTATTGTGAGTTCTGTTCTATTTATAATTTATAAATTTAATAATTTACCATCTTGACATAATAGGCCAAATCTATATTTTCACTGCAAAGACTACATCTTATTTCCATTATATTGAAAATGATAATGAAATAAGGTGCATAATGCCCAGAAAAGTCAGTGGACATTATCTGGGCATTATGCACTTCATTTCAACCCTGATCTACAAAGCCCCTTTATTGGTACATTATACATCTGGCATTCATACTGTATTTGCAGCCAATACTGCCAGTATGATTTAAGACGCTTGCAGGCTGTCCCTAAAGAAGTGTGTATTTGACTTAGTTATCATTGGGATGTCGGGTTACATAATTTACAGTAGTTTTGGGCCTTCCTTTGAAGTAATCCAATTTTCTCCTTTTAATAACATTTATAAATTATTTTTA